TAATGTGCTGTAATTCTAATAGTGTCTTATACTGCAGGACCTCTCCACCAAGATCATGCAGCTGATCAGTATTGCTCCAGAGTACCTGCAGCATGACTTCATCACCAGCCTACCTGAGATCCTAGGGGATTCCCAGCATGCTGATGTGGGGAAAGAACTCAGGTGGATAAGCGCCCTGTCATCATCTAAGCAAGGTTTCACTATGGAAGCTTTATCACTGCAGTGTGCAAAGAGTAGTAAAGTGGTCCTTTGTATATAAAAAGAGGATGATACCTATCTTCCATGAGTAGAGTATGGGCTTTGACTTGTTTTTCTAATAATAGGTATATATTTTAATAGACCCATCTACTTTTTAAAAATGGTATACCTATTATAAGCATTAAGTCTGACTTAGGATTAGGTATATAAATTTGGTCAGTGGAGAACTTGAATATGATTTCTTTGTTTTATTAGCATTTTCTCCAGGGGGCCCTCAATACTGACTGCACATCAAAATCATTTGTGGAGCTTATTAAACATATATATGCTTTGGGTTCCTGGATGATTCATTCTAATGCATGTCCCTGCTTCAGACCCATTGTCAAGACCCATTGCTTATTGCCATTCACGTGAAAAATAGTAATTGGTAGGACAGTATTTAAGAAGGGGAGAACCATAAATAATAATGTTTCTGTTTTAAAGCAACTTTTTACTGAAGTAGTTATAAACATTCAGTTTATAATACTTCCTTTTCTATAGTTGTCTGCAGAACTACTACCAAAAGTGTCTAGTGATTTCTTGCCTTTATGCTTTTGGACAGGATGCTTTTTCTGGGTAGAGCACTGTACTACCCACTTTGTCTGCTTGATGCCAGCTTGTCCTTTTATATAGTCTTCTCTTAGAATCCATCACTGTCCTTCTCACTACTGTGTGCTCCTGTAGCACCCTGCACGTATGTCTATCATACTTGTCACACTTCATTGTAACTGTTTTGTTTTTTTTTTCCTTTTTTCTGGGAAGAATATATATCAAACTCAATAGTGGTGGCCTTTGGGTAGTAGGGATTGTGAAGGAGAGCTTCTTGTTTCTACTTTATTTGTTTGTTGTTTGAATTTTTATAATGAGTGTGTATTGTTTTTTTGTAAACAAAGCAGTTTTTAATGAAATATACTATAAACAGTAACTTAATGGGAACTAAGTATACCCTCTCTTCTCATACTCTGTTGAGTGATTTTCTCGTCATTATCTGCCTAGCTCTGTTCAAACTGATACATAACTTCTCTTTTTCCACCATTCACAGTGCCTTACTGATGGAGAATACTTCACTCACTGTCCCTATCCTGGATGTCCTTGCTAGCCTCAGACTTGACCCAAACCTCCTGTCTAAGGTAGGAAAGATTCTGTTTTCCAGAAATAGAGCCAACATTCTGACCTCCTGGAGCCAATGTTGGTCAGTCATTGCCTCGGGAGAAGTCATTGGTAATGAAAAGTTCATTTTGAAACCATACTGAATGACATTTGATATCTTTTTCTTCTTTTCAGTATGTTTCAGATGTTACACTATGATCGATTTGCAGGTCTGTTTTTAAGCAATAAGTTGTAGTGGAAATCTTCTATATTGCCTGCATATTAACTACTCCATAGGAATAACACTTTTTTATGCTTTCCTGTGGCTAGTTGAGAATTCAGGCTCCAAATTGTAAGATAACAATATTGTTACACATTTATCATCTGTCTGCTTTTGAAGAAGCTGTGCTGTTAACAATTGCAAGATTGTAATTTGGGGAAAAGTAAAAGGAGGTGTTTTTCTTCCTAAATTTCAAGCGGGAAAATTGAGTGAGAGAAGTGATTTTTCTAATTTTACCTAACAAGTTAATATGAGGATGAAGTAGTGACATGAATGAATATAGTTAAGGTTTTTGTGCTCTTTATTTTTAGGTACGCCAGTTGATGATGGGTAAGCTGTTGTCTGTCAGATTGGACGATTTACCTGTGATAATCAAATTTATTCTTCATTCCATAACAGCTACAGATGCACTTGAGGTATGCTATTATTTCCCACCACGCCTAAAGATACATCAGGATGAATTGTATAAATTAATAAGTTCTAATTGCTCTTCTCTGTCCCCAGACTAATTGATAATGCTGATTAATCCAGATAACATTCAGGGAAGAGAATGGAATTACTGGTTATGTTGACTATTCTATATTAGCTGCTATAGGTTATATCTGCTGTGTAATAAGTCTGTGTGGTACCTCATGGAATTCTGGAATTTTGAATGTGACACACTATACTTCCATTAGCTATTCTCATTAACTCTTTTTCAAAATGCCTTGTCCAGCATTTTAGATTTTTTCTTGGACTGTGCCTATCCACTATGAATGAGCAGAACACATAGTTAATATTTACTTTCTGCAGGTAATTTCTGAGCTTCGGGAAAAGTTGGATCTGCAGCATTGTATTTTGCCATCACGGTTGCAAGCTTCCCAAAGCAAGCTCAAAAGTAAAGGACGAACAAGGTATAGAGCTCCACAATTGCCACCCTTTTTCTTGCATAGATAAAATTTTCTGACATTTGTCCTAAAGTCAGGACACTTAGAGCTTAATACTTGTAACTACAAATAATGGTAGTAATATTACATTGACATACAATACCACACGGTTTTTTAAATTATGTGTGTGTCTATTTTCTTAGCCATTCAGATAAATCCCAAATAAACTACAGTACACATTTATTAGCCATCTTACACATGAGATTTTGACTTACTCCAGGGAACGTGGCTAGCAAGCAGGAGCCCATATCTTGTAAGTTTTTTTCTGGTGGGTAGAAGAGTAATTTTCTTCCCCTTTGCTACTCATAGTTATTTAGGAAATGAAGAAAGCAGCGGTCAAGACTGTGTTATTCTCCTCTTTGATGTAATAAAGTCAGCCATTAGATATGAGAAAATCATTTCAGAAGCCTGGATTAAGGTGAGTGACATCTTTGGATGTAGCAAGGAGGAAATGGGTGTGTCAAGGAGGAAATGGGAGATAATCAGTGACAGATGTGTAAGTAAGGTTGTACAGATTGCAATAAAAGTCTTAAAAATCATTTAAGTAGAAATGATAGATGATGGTTGCCAGATGGGCAGATTGACTCTCAGATAACAAGGGTGTGCTGAATAAGGCCAAACGTGTTCCACTGATGTGTCGTAATTTTTTGTGACCCTTATTTTTCCAGGCAATTGAAAACATTGACTCAGTGTCTGAACACAAGGTAATGTTCATGTACTATGCATTTTATGTATGGCAGGCTTAGAAGTAGAGACATTCGCTAGCTTGCCTTCCTGCTTTCTTTTTCTCCTTGCCTCCAGTCATCCTGTGCCCTCTGTAGTTGCTCTAATAAACATTAGCTGTTTGAGGAAGATGATCTGAGGGGTGACTTGCCAGATGGTCTGCTCCTACTCATTCTTTTTTTTTAACTAATCCTATGACAGATTATCCTACTCCTTAATGCTGGTAATAAAATAAGCCTACAGTATCCATAAGGGGAAATTTTAACATTCTAAACAAGCATACCAAAATGTAGTCAAAGAAGCCAAGTCTCCAGTGATGAGGAGGTGGAGAACATAACCACCTGGGTCGTGAGTCAGGTCCCTATATCTGTCTGATTCCCCTTCGTCCCACCTGGCACAATGGTCAAGATAGTAACATTCTTATTTACTTTGCCCATGTAGACCTTACTGTAGTGAATCAAATGGTCTATCGCTGTCAGAGTGATGATACTGGATCTTATGTCTCTTTTAATTCTAGAAATACTTTCTTCTGTCAAAAAGCCAGATGATTTATTTCTTTTGAAGTTTTTTTTTTTTAGTTGAAATCTGTTTTGTTTTGTGGGATTTTTGTTAGTTGAATTATTCAGTTGTTGGATGACTCTTAAAAGCTTTTATAATATTAAATAAAACAAAAATATCAATAATTTTTTGTGGGGAAAAAAGCGAAATACCCTAACACAACTGCGTTGATTTTTGCATAAAAATAAATTGGTCACCTTAGCTGCCTGCATGCCTATTTTTACAGATTTGTAATCATTGTATAAATGTAACTTTGTGTTCTGATTTTTTTCCTCTTGACATTTTTTTCTCCTGTCATAAACATTTTGCATGCTTCTACATTGTTTTCATTGTCATTTTTAATAGCTATACTCCGTTTTGTTCTAATGATTCTCAATTTTTGCTGTCTAAGCAAGTGGACCTTCAATGAAGAGATGTCCTAAGTAATTTATGTTTTCTTTTTTGTCCTGCTTGACTTTTTAACTTTTTTTTAAAAACATAGATAATACTAGCTGATTGGGGAGAAAAACCCACAAGGAATCTACAAATGCAAAAAATAAAGTTTCCCCCCACACTGTGTCCCGTTCCTCAGGGATACTCATCTTCCTAGGTTTTTTCTATTCATATGCAAGCTCTGTGTGTATGTGCAAATGCCAGCATACTCACTCTTATACCTATGTATATGTATGTTTATTGTTTTTACAAAAGTAGAATCTTACTATGATTGTTATTTTGCAGGTAGTTTTGTTTCCACTTCACTATATCAGGAATGTCTCTATCAAAAAATGTAGTCTAGCTTATTTTTTTGGTGGCTGTTATGATAGTCCCCAAATGACTCAATCATAACTTAGTAAACCTTTCCCATATTATTTTCCTAATAATAATGAAAGTATATCCTGGAGTTGACAAGTGATTTAATCTTTTTTTCTTTTAATAAATGTGAAGATGTTCAAAATTACTTCTGTAATAATATCACTTTTACTTATATTCCAATGTTTTCTTAAGAGATACCAATGGTTAATAGTGGTGACACTTTATTTCTCTGGAAAATATTTTTAGGTTTTGTGAAAATGTAGGTACTACAAATGAGTATTTTCCACTCTGTGGTTTTTTTTTTTTTTTTTTGAGACAGAGTCTCACTGTGTTGCCCAGGCTAGAGTGCCGTGGCGTCATCCTCGCTCACAGCAACCTCAAACTCCTGGGCTCAAGCGATCCTCCTGCCTCAGCCTCCCGAGTAGCTGGGACTACAGGCATGCGCCACCATGCCCGGCTAATTTTTTCTATATATTTTTAATTGTCCAATTAATTTCTTTCTAATTTTAGTAGAGACGGGGTCTCGCTCTTGCTCAGGCTGGTCTCAAACTCCTGAGCTCAAACAATCCGCCCGCCTCGGCCTCCCAGAGAGCTAAGATTACAGGCATGAGCCACCGCGCCTGGCCCCACTCTGTGTTTTAATGGGAAAAGTTGAGAGCTATTGTTTTGTTGTGGTAAATGGATTTGTTAAACTTTTCATGTTGTTTTATATTTATTGACAATAGATTTTTGACCTGGCGATGCTTCTTATCATCTATAGCACCAACACTCAGACAAAGAAGTACATTGAGAGGGTGCTAAGAAGTAAGATTCGATCAGGCTGCATTCAGGAACAGTTGCTACAGGGTACATTCTATATTCATCACTTGGTAAGTGTCAGAGAATCAGACATTAGCCTGAAAGTTATGGAGAGGTCATCTTAACTTTTCCTACCCAGTGCGGGAATCTTAATAACACCACTTTGCTGCATTCGATCTTTGACAGGGGCCTTAATATATTTCAAAACATAGTAAGATTATTACTTACCTTGATTGAAACCTTATGATGTTAATAAACCTACCTAAGATTGGTTTTCACCTTTTTACTAAAAAAGTTCACAAAATTGGTTTATGTTGAACTTATTTGACTCAAACCCCCAATTTTTTTTAATAAGAAATGTTTTAATCCAGGCCTTCTGATTCCATACAGTATAACTTCATTTTTATTTTTTAATTAAAAATTTTTTAGAGACGAGGGTCTCACTATGTTGCCCAGGCTGGCCTTAAACTCTTGGCTCAAGGGATCCTCTTGCCTCATCCTCCCCAGTAGCTGGGACTACATAGATGCCCAGCTATAACTTGATTTCTAATCTGAAGTGGAAGGCTTTATAGCTCCCATGTAAAATTTCATCCTGTTATTTCAGCTCATTGTTCAAGCCCATTGAGACTTTTGAGTCTTCATTTTGCATCGGTCATTTAAAGTTGTCTAGCCCTGTGTGATTGCAGTTTTGACAAATTTCTCTTCTGTATCCTGTTCTAAGTAGTTTATAAAAACCCTGAGGAAAATAGGACCAGAAGAATGCTAGTGGAAACATAAATAGGAATCTACTGAACCATTCAATAGAATGAATTTGGCCATTCAGCATTGTGAATCTTGGGTGATGATTCCTCTAGAAATGTAAACCATTTGAATTGGAATTTTGTAAGCTGGGAATAGTATTTTGACACTGAATATTCAGAATATTAACTGTTTAGAACTTTTTAGAAAACTGAATGGGCCAGTGGTTTGGGCTTGGCTTAGAAACTAATGAGAATATGTAGTTGGGTCTCAAGATTTTATGTTTAGTAATGGATTCGATGTCTGCATTATATTATTTTGCAGTCCTTTCTGTGTTTATTTCTTGTAACGATCTATGTTTTGAGCTGTAATTTTCCAGATGGCAGAAACCATATATAATTTTTCATTGCATTTTTCTCAGTAAAGTATTATACCCAGTTTAGTGTGTAATATAAGATTTTTTTAAAAAATTATGATGGTATTGGTAAAGAAGCTGGACTTATTTACTAGTTATTTACTCTGGGTCCATCAATGTCTGTCTATATTGCATTATTCATAGGATAT